CTGCTGGGGGTGAAGGTTTAGCACGGAGCTTGAGATGCACTGTGGGGGTGGCAATTCTGGATTGGTGCACACTTGGGGAAAGGGCCGCTTCTAGAGCACAGATTGGAGCACACCCAGGGATTCTAGGGGTTCTAGGCTGGAGTACAGCCAGAGATGGGGATGGGGTTTTACACTGCAGCACACCTAGCAATGGGGCTCTAGAATGGAGATTTTAGCACATCCAGGGATGGGGTTCTAGATGGGAACACACACTGGAAGGGGTTCTAGCTTGGCACATACCCATGTATCAGGTTCTAGATTGGTGCATGTCCATGAATGGGGTTCTAGATTGGAGCACACCCATGGATTAGGGCTCTACATTGGGGTACACATCAGAATGGGGTTTTGGATTGGAGCTTGGTGCCTGGTTGGGACGTGTTTCTTTTATACTCAGCGAGCCAGAAGCACGTGGGCAGCGAGAGAGGCCAGTGGCAGAAAGAGCCACACACGATTCCTGGCCCCGCTCCACTGTCTATATCTTCCCAGCCAGGCAGGGGTTGTTTTCGGGGTCCGTCGCAGCGCAGTCCTGGCAGCAGTTGTTTTCGCAGCGCAGCAGGGGCACATCGTGCAGCTGGTGCCAGGCCTCCAGCAGCTCCTGGCGGCTCACCACGGGCCATGTATCGTTGCAGAAGATGCGCTGGAAGACGAAGGCCTTGTAGTTGCTGTCGATGTCCAAGAAGGCATCGCTGGTCATGCTGAGGATGTTGTAGGGCCCGTTTTCCGCCAGGCACATGCTCGTGCAGGGCGAGTTGAGGGTGAATAAGATCAGGCAGCAGTTCGGTCTGCAGGTCCTGGCCTTGAGCTGGGCCACCGAGCTGTTCTTGCCCCTGTGGAGCAGACGCCACTCGCTGTGCTGCCAGCGAGTCTTCCGATGCCGAGGCCGGGCAGCTACAATAGGCCAGTCATTCAGGGTGTACTGGCCATCTGGCTTAGCGAGCGCCTGATTCATGGCATTCAGCGCTGTCTCGGGCAGCTGCTCCTGCAGGTTGGTGGGTTGGTTACACGTCTCACGGGGCAGGCTCACGACGAAGGCATATTGAGATCCATCTAGTGTGAGGGGCCTGAGAGGGATCAGAGCACAGCAGGGTCAGGGACCCAGGACTCAGCCAGGAGATGCCAATTAAAGGGAGAGAAATGGGAATAGGCCCCCCAAATACCCTCCTACCTCAAGGCTCCATCTCCGCCGTGCACCCCAAATCACCCCTCCAGACTCTGGGCCCCATCTCTGCCTGGATTCTCAGAATCACCCCTCCAAGCTCTTTTCCATATCTCCCCCTGAACCCCCAGAATCACCCCTCCCAGGTCTGGGCCACATCTCCCCCTTGTAAACCAATAATCACCCCCTCTATGTCCAGGCTACAGCTCTCTCTGTACCCCTAGAATCATCTCTCCCATCTCCTTCCAGATCCCCCACAATCAGCAACACCCAGATGTGGGCCCAATCTCCCTCTGCTACCCCATAATCTCCCCTCCCCACCACAGGCTCCATCTCCCCACTGAACCCCCAGAATCACCGTTCCTCATATTTGAGCCCCACCTCCTACACCCTGAGAATCACCCCTCCCAGGTGTGGGCTCAGTCTTCCCCCTGCAACCCCATTTTCACCCCCTCCTAGCTATGGGATCCATCTCCCTCCGCAGTCCAGAAACACCCCACCTCTGAGCTTCATCTCCCCTTGCACCCCCATTATCAGCCCCTCCCAGTTTTGGTCTCCATCTCCCCCTGGACCTCCAGAATCATCCCTCTCCCAGCTCTGGGCTCAATTTCCCCTCTGCACCCCCAGAGTCGCCTCTCTCCAAGACTAATCTAGTCATCCAAGTCAGGAGTGAATTCATCACCCAGCATGCTGGGTGCTCTCCAACTACGGTCAGTGTCTGGGCAGAGCTGGGCACAATGGGACCCCCTGACCTTCCTGGGCATCCCTTCAAGCCAGTGGGATCCAACCAGGGCCATTCTGTGCAGCTTTTTGCAGCTGGGCTACAGGGGCAGGGAAGGACAGAGACAAACTGGTCACTCACCAGTTCACATAATCCACGATCACTCTGAGCGCAGCTGGGTTGATGCTCGTGGAGGTCTCTGGCCCGAAGCAGAGGAGAAGGAGCAGCAGCAGGAGTCCAGCCGTTGGCATCCATCCCAGTACCTGCACAGGACTCCACAGACTCAGAGCCCCCCAACCCACATCTCCTAGCCCTGCTATGCTACCAACAGGCGAGTGGGCAGTGGGACCCTGTGGGGCTACATGGGGGAGGAGGAGGAGGGGGAAATGGGGGAGTCATCAGGGTTTCCATGGGTAGGAGGAACTGGGGGGCAGAAAGCACTACCCTGGTGCTCCATGGGGTAGTGAAGGTGGGGGTCATGGGGGAGTTCCCTTGGGCTCCATGGGGCAGAGAAGGTGGGGGGCAGAGGGTCATAAGAGTCATAAGAATGACCATACTGGGTCAGACTAATGGTCCATCTAGCCAAGTATCCTGTCTTCCAACAGTGGCCAATGCCAGGTGCCCCAGAGGGAATGAACACAACAGGTAATCATCAAGTGATCCATCCCTTGTCACCCATTTCCAGCTTCTGGCAAACAGAGGCTAGGGACACCATCCCTGCTCATCCTGGCTAATAGTCATTGATGGACCTATCCTCCATGAATTTATCTAGTTCTTTTTTGAACCCTGTTATAGTCTTGGCCTTCCCACATCCTCTGGCAAGGAGTTCCACAGGTTGACTATGCATTGGGTGAAGAAATACTTCCTTTTGTTTGTTTTAAACCTTCTGCCTATTAATTTCATTGGGTGACCCCTAGTTCGTGTTGTGACATTACACCCCATATTCTTCATAAAAATATGGTATAACTAAGATATACTTTATGCAAGATGGCTCATGTAAGATAGCGTTGGAAAGATTATGATTTACTGCATGTGATTATCCAATTTGTATGCATGTATCATTTCTGTATCTGAAGTTAGGAATATTGACTATGTAACAATTACAACTGTGTGTGTACTTTGGAAAATGCCCACCAGACAGTAAAGTAAGTAATCATCCTGAATGAGTCATTTAAGAAGGATAATAGAACTGTGAAGATACTAATCTCTCTCCTTTCTGAGAGGCTTCCTGGGACCCAGCTGTGACACAACCAGGGCAGGTGGTCCTTCACCTGATACAAAATACCACCTTGGACACTGCTGGTATTTTTCGTCTGTAGGGGGATGGAGATCAAACAGTGGATTCCCGCTTTAGGTCAATCCTTTTAAAGGGCTGGGGTGGGGGTTGATCTGGACTCTCCTCCATTGCCTACCCAAGAAGAAGGACTGCTGGAAGAACCTGAAGGGATAAAGGAACTATCCTGAAAGGAAAGGCTGGGGTGAGTCCAGACTGAGACAGGGGTCCAGTCTGTAAGAAGAAATAACTGGAACTCTGAGCTACAGAAACTCTGAATCCTGCCTAATTCAACATTTAGGGTGAGAAATTACATTTTGTAACCTGTTTCTTTAGTGAATCAAGCTTAGTTTGAATGTTTTATTTTATTTGCTTAGTAATCGGCTTTGTTCTGTTTGCTATCACTTATAAGCATTTAAAATCTGCCTTTTATAGTTAATAAATTTGTTTCGTTTCTTATTAAACCACTTTGTGCAATTTCTAACTGGGGGGGGGGCAAGAAATTGTGCATATCTCTCTTCACATTGAGGAAGAGGGAGAATTTTTATGAGCTTGCACTGTGCAGATCTTTCTATACAGAGCAAGACAATATACCTTTGGGTCTGCACTCCAGGGAGATGGGAACCTGAGTGCGGGGAAAGTCCCTTCAGCTGAGTCTTCCCATAGCCCATCTCAGTGTCTGTGTCTTTCTGCAGCTGGGTGTGGCCCTGCCTGTGTGTGTGCTAGAGGAGGTTTAAGAGCTTGGCTCACCAAGACAGTGTAAAGGGGGCCCAGGCTGGCAGAACAGGCAGGCTCAGTGGTCTCTCAGTACATCAGGTGGCACCTTCAGGGAGGCCAAACCATCATATGCATGTTATGAGAAGGAGTAAATAACACTTCCTTATTTACTTTCTCCACAGAGTCATGATTTTATAGCCCTCTATCATATTCCCCCTTAGTCGTCTCTTTTCCAAGATGAAAAGTCCCACTCTGATTAATCTCTCCTCATAGAGAAGCTGTTCTATACCCCGATCATTTCTGTTGCCCTTTTCAGAACCTTTTCCAATTCCAATGTATCTTTTTTGAGATGAGGCGACCAGATCTGCATGCAGCATTCATGATCATAGAATCATAGACTACAGGACTGGAGGGGACCTGGAGAGGGCATCTAGTCCAGTCCCCTGCACTCATGGCAGGACTATTTTTTTATCTAGACCATCCCTGGCGGGTGTTTGTCTAACCTGCTCTTAAAAATCCCCAATGATGGAGATTCCACAGCCTCCATTGGCAATTTATTCTGATGTTTATTTTGATGATGTGGGCGGACCATGGATTTATAGAGAGGCAATATGATATTTTCTGTCTCATTAGCTATCCCTTTCTTAATGATTCCCAACACTGTTTGTTTTTTTGACTGTGGCTGCACTTAGAGTGGATATTTTCATCCAGATGACTCCAAGATCTCTTTCTTGGGTGGTAACAGCTAATTTAGGCCCCATGGTTTTGTAGGTATAGTTGGGATTTTATTTCCCAATGTGCATTACTTTTCACTTATCAACATCGCATTTCATCTGCTGTTTTATTGCCCAGACACCCAGTTTGTTGAGAGCCCTTTGTAATTCTTCGCAGTCTGCTTTGGACTTAACTCTCTTGAGTAGTTCTGTATCATCTGCAAATTTTGCCACCTCGCTGTTTACCCCTTTTAACAGATCGTTTATGAATATCTTGGATAGCACTGGACCCAGTACCGATCCCTGGGTGGGGGACGCTGCTATTTACCTCTCTCCCCTGGGGCTCCATGGGGCAGGGGTGGTGGGGGGAGGGGGGCTCACCTGGGGCTCCATGGTCGGCGGTGAAGGGTCCGTGTCTCTGCTGACAGATGCTCACACCCGCTCCTGGTGCGACGGGCTCCCAGCCCTGCTCTGTGCAGCGCTGCCCCAGGCAGCCCGGCGAGCGCGGGTGGGGGCTGCTGGCCACAGACCTGTCGCGGGCAGGTGACAGGACGGGGAGCGAACAGGGGCTCTGAGAACTTCCTCCTCATCGCAGCTCGACAGCAGCGCGGGGCGGTCACTGCGGTGTCGCGCTTGCAGCGACGCCCCAGGGGCCAGAACCGCTCCCATGCGGAGGGCGCTGGGGCTGGGGCAGGGCGGCTCGGAGAAGCGGGACCCGTGGGACTGGTGCTGCTCTGCCGGGCCCCGCGTTCCGCTCTCCGGCAGGGGCGCGGCTCCCTCCTCCGCTGCTCAGCCCTGGCGGGACGGTCATCTCCCCACTGCCCCCCGGCTCTGGGTCCCCTCTGCCCCGGCGGGGAGCCCCCGCTGCTGGGGTGAGCGCTCCGCCCGGACACTCGCCCCGACCCTCCCCGCTGCGCTGCCCCTGACAGCCCCGGCCGGTCTGGAGGCGAAGGAGGAGCAGCCCGGATGCCTGCCCCCCAGGTACAAGTCAGCCCCGGGCGCCAGCTCCCCCACGCCTGTCAGCCCGCAGCCACTCACTCCTCTACCCGCAATAGCCCCCCGCGCTAACTGTCCTCGGCCCCCCAGAGTTTCGCGGTCCAGGATTTGGCCGTAGTCTGCCTATGGACAGCACCTGGTGTAAAGGACCATCTGTCCCCAAGGCAGGCTGACCCGGTGGCAGACAGATCGGAGCACCGGGGGCTGTCTGTGGCTCCATGTTAAGGCTGGTACAGGCCTGAAGAGGTTACATGGGGGGATAATTGGTTCGGACATGTAAATCCACAGCTCACAGTCACTGGGCGGTTCGCGCCCTGCTTCCTGGCAGTCTTGTCCGGAGATCGGCTCTCAGGCTCTTCAGCCAGGGCAGGCAGCAGCGTTACAGACCAACCCGGCCACAACACCGCCAACAATCTTCAGAGAAGCCGGTGTTGGGGGGAGCTGTATCTGGGGAACCCCTTGGCGAAATGGCTCCAAATTAGGGTCACTCACCTGACCCCAGGCCCCCCTGGGTCACAGCAAATTTCAAGGTCATCTGAGGAAGCATGGAGATTTCAGAGCATTTTTAGAGGAGAAGTGGTGTCTCAATCTTGCCCTGCAATAATGGTCCCTTCTGGGGACCAAGGGGTTTGCAGTGGGAGCTGCCTTCTGCGGCTGTAACCCTGGTGTTTGGTTCCCAGGTGCAGCTCCTGTCAGCTGGGGGAGCAGAGAGCGGGGCTGGGAGGTTTGTCCTCCATCTTGCGCCAGGTGCCCCCCATCCCCGGGGGATTGGGGCTGTCTGCTCAGGGGATCCCCACCCAGGGAGCAGGGGAAGGGGGTTCTAGGGATGGGGAGGGGAACACTTGGGGGCTCTGGACCCAGTAAAACTCAAGCTGCCACTCAGGCTGCCAGCTGGGAGCCAGGATCGATGAGGGGCTGCCCGTGGGGACCCAGCACCTCCAGGGGACGACGTGAGACCCTCGACGCACAGACGGAGATGGGAGACCTGGACGCACGGACAGAGAGGCCCCCAGGATGCTCAGAAGCTTTATTGGCGGCAATCGCACATCAGAGAATCAGCAAAAAGCATCACCCGCAGACTGGAACAACCCCAAAGCAGCCCCCACTGATGGAGCCCCGCGCTCCGAGATCCCCACTGCCCTATCGTGGCTATGGTCCATGCCCAGGAATCCTCCCACCCACCATCATCTGAGTAAAGGGCTCCCCCCTCTGATCCAGCCCCATCATACAGTCACCGGGCCCAATGTGCCCTGCTCCCATCCACTGCCCCCGCCCTCCGGCCTCATGCAGGGATGGGGGCTGGGTTCTAGATCTGAGTTCTGAGCTCACTGGGTGGCCGGGAGGGATAGCTCAGTGGTTTGAGCATTGGCCTGCTAAATTCAGGGTTGTGAGTTCAATCCTTGAGGGGGCCATTTAGGGATCTGGGGCAAAAATTGGGGATTGGTCCTGCTTTGAGCAGGGGGTTGGACTAGATGACCTCCTGAGGTCCCTTCCAAGCCTGATATTCTAGGATTCTATGACTCAGACACCCCCAGGGATGGGGGTCATGCTCGCCATTGGAGCTTGACATGCACTGCAGGGGGTGAAGGTTTCGAACGGAGCTTGAGGTGCACTGTGGGGGGTGGCAATTCTGGATTGGTGCACAATGGGGAGATGGGCTTGTAGATTAGAGCACACCCAGGGATGGAGTTCTAGGCTGGAGCACAAACAGAGATGGGGAGGGGGTTTTACACTGGAGCACACCCAGCAATGGGGTTCTAGAATGGGGCACACATCAGAGGGGTTCTGGATTGGAGCTTGGTGCCTGGTTGGGACGTGTTTCTTTTACACTCAGCGAGCCAGAAGCGCATGGGCAGCAAGGGAGGCCAGTGGCAGAAAAAGCCCCACGCGGTTCCTGGCCCTGCTCCATTGTCTATATCTTCCCAGTCAGGCAAGGGTTGGGCATACCATCCACGGCACAGTCCTGGCAGCTGCTGTTGTCGCAGCACAGCAGGGGCACATGGCGCAGCCGGTGCCAGGCCTCCAGCAAGTCCTGGCGGGTCACGACAGGCCTCAAGTCATAATCAAAGATCTTCTGGAACACGAAGGCCTTGTAGTTGTTGTCGATGGCCCAGAAGGCAGCACTGGTCATCCCCACAATGTTGGAGCGCCCGGCCTCGCGCAGACACTTGGTGGAGCAGGGCGAGTTGAAGGTGAATAAGATCAGGCAGCTGTTCTGGCCGTAGGTCCTGGCCATGAGCTGGGCCACAAGGCTGTCTGGGCCGGAGATCAGACGCCTTTCATAATTATCCCCCCATGTAACCTCTTTAGACGCCACTCACTGTGCTCCATGTATTTCCTATTTGGTGTAATCACTTCCTTTGGCCGGGCGGCCACGATGTTCCCAAGGGGAGGGTTGTACAGGGCACCAAATGTAATGTTTTACATTAAACACCTGACTTACAAATCTTTCTGGATTACATTGTTCAGAGATCATTTTGCAATTTCTTAGTTGTACAAAGCCTCCTTCATGTTTGTGAATGTATTTTCTGGCAAAGTTTTTTCAAGCCAAACTGCGAGCAACTCTTGCCCTCGTTTTACTTATCTTAACACTTTGAATAGAACTTACTTAGGTTCTAAAATAAAGAATTTGACTTCACCATTGGCTAGCCTATATGATAAACTGCATAATGAACACTTTGCTATTTTTAACTTTGAAACTGAAGATGTCCCTTCACAGAAACTAACAGGAAATAATACCCCAAACTATTTCCCACGCTTATTTTAACAAGAAAACAACAGAGGGGTGGGGGAGAGTTCCCCTCTCTTCCCTCCGTGGCTAATGTACTTGTAGCTGATTGAGAAGTCTCTTTCCCTTGTCGGGACCTGCCAAACAGCTGGGGGAAACTGAGACAGATGGCTCAGGGGTGTAACCCAGGAGAACTAAGGGGACTGAACAATTGCGGCCTTTCTGGCAGCTTAAACCTTTCTGTTTAACAAAAACCTTAAGCCATTTTGGCTTAACAAAAACATATATCGGTTACTCCTGCCACCATGAATGCCCAATGCTGCTGCTAATATCTGACCGGTACCACATATTATAAGGTTAACCCTTCAAGAACAAAGCCCCTTAAATGCATGTATCACTTTAAATAATACCATTACTCTTTAGTATTCTTTATCTTGCAAGATTAAACTGCAAAACCTCTGGCCAGTAAAGAAAAACCACCTGTAGGATAAAACTCTAAGTCAAACCACAGTACAAAACATCAAATACTGGGACCACTGCCAAGAAGCAGTCACAGTCAATCAGATTTCCTGTGCTTTAAGACAGTCAGTTAGACAACTGAGTTAGACACACTTTTGCTCCGTAACTTTAACTTTTTGCCTTAGATGAGATACCCAGAGGTCTAAAGATGCCTGAAATTCCTACAAATTTCTGTTACACACTCCTTGAGTCTCCTAGCTGGCTCACCAGTTCTGTTGCCTGATTTTAGGAGGTTAATATTATTAGTTTGGATACTATGGATTATAGGCTTACCAATCAATTTGATCAGAAGATAATAAGGTTCTTGTCCCAGAATTAGGCTACACAGAGTTTGCAAAGGACCCTTGGGGGTATGGCAGGATGCTTACACTGAGACAAATATAGCCTTAAAGACTTTTATTGAGATAAATGGAATTATAATTAAATAGTAATTAAATGGTAAAATAAATTAGAATTACAAATGAAGTACTATTATTTTAAAGATACATATGGTATTATATACTAGAAAGCTTTTGATTAATATACTTACACCCTTTCTTAATAACCTGGTGGTAAAAGACAAAGAACCAGCCAAGCGTTTGGCATACCAAGAAAGTTCAGGTCCAGGTTCCTTAATTTTTATGTGAAAGGTGCAAAGCTTAGAAGAAGTTAAAGCTAAGAGGTATTAAAGCTAACTTAGAGTTTTACTTAACTAAGGACAGGTTTCAGAGGAACAGCCGTGTTAGTCTGTATTCGCAAAAAGAAAAGGAGTACTTGTGGCACCTTAGAGACTAACCAATTTATTTGAGCATGAGCTTTCGTGAGCTACAGCTCACTTCATCAGATGTATACCGTGGAAACTGTTTCCACGGTATACATCTGATGAAGTGAGCTGTAGCTCACGAAAGCTCATGCTCAAATAAATTGGTTAGTCTCTAAGGTGCCGAGACTAACCAATTTATTTGAGCATGAGCTTTCGTGAGCTACAGCTCACTTCATCAGATGTATACCGTGGAAACTGTTTCCACGGTATACATCTGATGAAGTGAGCTGTAGCTCACGAAAGCTCATGCTCAAATAAATTGGTTAGTCTCTAAGGTGCCACAAGTACTCCTTTTCTTTTTACTTAACTAACTAACTAACAACTTACTTATGAACTAATAAAGTAAAACCAAAAAAGCTTGAAGCTTAAAAACTAAAAAAACAAGTTTTAAGACTTAGAAAAAAATTTCTTGGCATACCCCTTTTATAGGGCATGGGTGCTTAAGCTCTCCTACTATGTTTCAACATAGCTTCCTTACCCATGAAAAAATTGGGGTACACTTACTTCATAGGCTGGTATGTTATTATGTATTAATAACTTATACATACATATTAATAACATTCAATATTTTTACATTGGTTATTTTTGTTTTTTAAGTTATTTTGGTTTTTTCCTTGTGATGTACCTGTTAAGTTTAC